TGGAGTACAATTGTCAGATTTCAGCCTCCTGAGTAGCTAGGATTGCAGGCATGAACCACCAGTGCCCAGCTCAAATGTATCTTCTTAATTTCTTATTTTATTACATTCACTTAGTTTACAGAAACTATTTCTAATACTTAGAATGGATGAAGAGTAGAATAATAAATATCCTCATAAATTGCATAAGATTTTTTGGGGAGAGGGTCGGTCATGGGGCTTGAACTCTGGGCCTGGGCATTGTCCCTGAGCTCTTCAGCTCAAGGCTAGTGCACTACCACTTGAGCCACAGCACCACTTCTGGTTTTCTGGTGTTCAGTTGGAAATAAGAATCTCATAGACTTTCCTGCCCAGACTGGCTTTGAGCCTTGATCCTCATATCTCAGCCTCCAGTGTAGCTAGGATTACAAGCATGAGCCACCAATGCCTGGCACATAAGATTTTTAAAAATAAAATATTACATATTTGAGTTGGATTGTGGTGGGAAGGGAGGTTTCATGTCAGTAAGTGTAAGAAGATTGTAAGTTCAAGACCAAGGTGGGCCACATAGCAAGTTTGTAAACAGCCTGAGCTAAATAAACATCTAGACCTTGTCTTAGACCTGCCTAAAATCTAGTATCCTTCTTAAGCTTGCCCTATATTCTTTATATATTTAAAAATATGTAAAATGTATCTTAGTTTTACCCTTAAATAATGGGTAATTGTAACAACATTTATTGATTGATAAAGACTTAAGTTGTTACTAATTTTACACCATCAAAAATAACAGTTCAATGAACATGTTTAGATTGCATGAGGTTATCAGTAAGGCAATTTTGATTTTTACCAGATACAATCAAATTGCTTTTAAAAATGTTTAGATAAATCCACATGCCTCCTGTAAACATATGAGAGTCCCTAGTTAATAGTTGGCATTAATATTTGCACCTGTTGAGCTAGAAATGGTATATCATTTCATTATGGTACAATTCGTCATGTATAATAGCTCTTGGGTCTTTTTTTCCATTTACTTGTAGGAGAATTTTGATTTTGTCCCCAAATATTCTTCTATTTAAGATTCCTGAAAACATGTTCTTTCTTTGTATAGCCTGAATTTTCATTGCATCCATAGGGCCTTTTGTCTCAAAGTTATATTTTATGTAATTATCCATCCATTCTTTTCTTTATCATTTATTAAAAAATTCCTTACAGCAAAATCATAAAGATATTCTTCTATTCAGTTTCCTGTAAAATTTTAGAGTTTGGGGTTTTATATTTAATTTGTTCCCTTTTGGTTTTAAAATTTTGACATGTAATGACATAGAAAGTCTACTTTTGTTCCTTTCTGGCTCCCAAATATTTATTGAGCAGCTCCTTTCCCTTAGTTTTCCTGAAGTAGAAGAATATTTCTCCTCTCTTAGTTGAGTGTGCTAGCGTTTCTTATCTTTATCCAAATCCCAAACCAAACAAAAAACTTTACACTTTCTCTGACTCAAAAATAAGTAACTCAAAAGCAAGTAACTCCATATTTCTTTCCCTTTGGTTTCTTTTTTTTTAAATTAAATTTTATTTTATTTATGAACATACTGTACAGAGGGGTTACAATTACATGGGCAGGATAATGCGTACATTTCTTTTTTTTTTTTTTTTTTTTTTTAATGCGTACATTTCTTACCAAGCATTGCAGCCTCCTCCTTTGGTTTACCCTTCACATCCCTTCCCAGCCTCCCCTTTGGTTTCTTTTAAATTTGTCCTCAATTTTCTTGGCTTACTTTGACCCATTGCATTTGAATTTTAGAAGTGGTTTTCTAATCTTCATTTAAGAGGTAGGAATTTTCATTCCAATTGGTTGTACTTTATAACACTGAGTCTTTCCAGCTATACCTATGGTACATGTCGAAATTCTATAGATAGGTCTTATATTTCATCTTTCAGTAATGCTACATAAATGTTCTAAAAACGCTTTTTCATCTTTTGTTTTGCAAGTTTTACTAGCTCCATTCGAGAGTTTTACAGTTATTGAAATAAAATAATTTTTCTTATTTTATTTCTTTGTTGGTAGCTGCTCTGTGAAGGAATGATTGACTCTGTGAAGTTTTTTGACCTTCAGATACTTAAGGCTAGTTAGATGTTAATTTTTAGGATCCTCTTTTTTCCCCCTTTTTGCCTTCCAAGGCCCTTCAGCAAAAGAAAATAGGACAGGGATTATCAAAGGCCTTCAGGGGCAGCTTTACCAAGAAAAGTGGAAATTGAGTTGAGCTGTGAAGGGGGAAAGGTTTTAATTAAGAGGATTGGTGTGGAGAAGAAACACGCAACTTCACAGGGACAGAAAGTGTTGGCTTTTTCATGCTATGAAAAAAGAAATCTCCAAATGGGTTTGATGGATTTTTTTAAGTCACTTATTTACTTTTTTCTTTTTATTATTTTTAATTAATGTATTCCCCAATTAGTTCTAAGACAGTTTATGAACTTTATATATTCAGTGCAACATATCTGTTTTTAAATTAGTAAAGTGTGAAAAAAAAAGGAATTAAAATTAGAATTCTAAGGCGTCAGGGAGAAGTGGAATATTTTGAAATGCAGGTCATTAAAAATCTTCATAGTGATGAAAGCTGAACTATGTATGTGCTTATATATACATATATGTATATATGTACATGTTTCTAATATATATATATGTTTCTAATAATTCCAGTAGCTAAAACAGCAGGAAAATAAATAGATTTTAAGATCCTTATTCCCATTAGGATAGAAAGTAATCAGGAAATAAGACAATTTTCAGAGTACCTAAGACTGGGGGAAAAAAAATTCTCCCACAGGTCTTCATAAATAAGATATAATGACAAAAGTTGACTCTACTGTCAACCACACCTCCATGGCAACAATAATGAATATCTGACAGTCTCCTTCCTTGTAACCAGAAGGCAAATTCCAAAGCAACATTATGTGGGATTAATCTCACTGACACATGCTAAGCAATAAAATTGGAGTACATAAAGTCACCTATTTCCACCTTTAATCCTAGAACAAAATCTTGTCTCATTAACTCACTTCCCTAATAAACTGCTGGTTGTTATTCCAAAAGAATTATTAGGGATTAGTAACCAATTAGAAAGTATATTATAATAAATGCCACATCAGCTAGGTGAACAAAGAGAGTGAACAACAAGTTACAGGCTTTTTTTCTTAATTGAATTTGTCTAGTAAAGCTGGTAGTTTTCAAGCTCCATGAATGAATGATTAAATAACGAATTCCAGGCAGAAAAAGATGGTATATATTGTTTTGCTTGTTGGGATATCACCTCTTAGCACAGTGCCTGACTCCTGGTAAATATTGTTCAATAAATATTTGAAAAGCAAATTAATGGGCAAATGAATGAAGTAAACTTGGATGCCATTTGTGCTCTACAGTGTGGGTTTGTAAGGATTGGTGCATCATTAAAGAATCTGGTGTCTCACGCCTGTAATCCTACTTACTTGGGAGACTCAGTTCAAACCAGCCAAGACAGAAAAGTCCACTAGATTCCATCTCTAATATAACCAGGAAAAAAAAAAAAAGCTTACCTCTTTCCTCTCTTTAGAACATCTAGAATGAGAGAGAGGAGAATAATGGGCTAGAGAGTGACTATAGCAGAGAATCATTGCTCCAGGACCATCCCTAGAAGGTGCCCCTTCTAGTTTCTAGTTGGGACATTTTATTTTTGCCCTGTAAATTCCCAGCTTGTTAACTCACACTGGTGACCCCTGAACAGGAACCTTGAATCACCCAGAGAGGAGGCTAACCCTTCTGAGCCAGTAGGCTGGGGCTCTGCAGGAGCAAACTTTGTCTGAACTAAATCAATGTCATTGAACACCTTAGGTGGCAGGAGACTCTGGTCACCTGTTAGATAACAGACATTGAATCTTTACTACATTCTAGGTATTCTGGAGATTGAAGCTGACTTAAAGATTTGAGCGCCTGCAGACTGATGAGGTAGACAGACATAAGTAAATTCAAACATCTTTACATAGTCTATGCAGTGGCCAGAGGGTTGTTAATTTGTGAATCATATTTTTTGTTTTTGGCAGTCATGGGGCTTGAACTCTGGGCCTGGGCGCTGTCCCTCAGCTGTTCAGCACAAGGCTAGTATTTTACCACTTGAGCCACAGCGGCACTTCCAGCTTTTTCTGCTAATGTGGTGCTGAGGAATCGAACCTGCATGCAAGGCAAGCATTCTACCACTGAGCCACATCTTAAAGATGAAGATGCAGAGACCAAACTGGATATCGGAACTTGTAGTTGAATATCAAACGACTTAACAAGTGGTGGAATTTGTATTCCGATCTAGAATCTATAGCTTTAACCACTCTAAGCTATAAACCACAGAATTCCCCCTCCCCTCCTCCATAGGAACTAGACCAGGGGAGAAAAAAAAAAAGTTATTACCAAAGGAATTGAAGTCAGATAGGAGAATGGAGAAGAGCTTCCTTCCACAGAGGAGCACTACACTAAGCCAGGGAACCTACATCAACTCCAAGAAAACCTAATTCCTACATTCTTCAAACAAGTCCCGAGTTTACCACTGTTCTACTTTCTCTAGAGTTCTAGAGTTCTCCCCTGTCTGTCCCCCTCTCCAGCACCCTCCCTTCCTCCCACCGCCCCCGGAAAAATAGCTTCCAGACCTCTGTCAGTGTCCAGGAAAACGGTCATCATGAGCAGCCTCAGCCAAATCACTAAAAGCCCAGTTTTTTTATTTTTATTTTTTTAAGTGGGGGGGGGGGGGGAGAGGTTCAGAAAGGTTCAGAAAGGAAATAAATGCAACCAGCAGCGCAGGAGGAAAAGGAAAACTCCTCTGCCCAGACAATGTAGGAGACAGCAGGTTGTCTCCGAGTGGCTGGAAAACGCTGGAGCACTCCAAACAGGAACTTTAAGGGGACTGAAATCTGTTGCCTGTTCCACTAGGAATATTGTTTGCAAGGCACAAGGTGTCTTTTGGTAGTGAGCACCCTCTGCGCATGCGCGGGTCCATTCGGAGGGGGGAATTACTGCCCAGCCGCCGACTAAGTTGCATTCCTTGAATCTTCTTCGCAGGCAATAAAAAAAAAAAAGACAATTCTTTCATCAGAGTTAGTAATGTGGACAGTACAAAATCGGGAGCGTTTGGGGCTTCTCTCTTTCCCTGTGATGATTGCCATGGTCTGTTGTGCACACAGGTGAGCTGCTTTTGTTAATCTTTTCCCTCTGGCTCTCTCTCTCTCCCTCTCTCTTGCTTATTCTTGGTATTTTTCTTTTTATCCCCCCATGCCAGCTGGATCACGGATCGTGTTATTTGGGGGAGGGGGTGGGGGAGATGGGGTGGGGTAAGTGTGTCTTTTCTATGTCTGCTCGCAGTTTTGAATACGATCCTTACTTCTTCCCCTCAGCGCCAACGAACCCAGCAACATGTCATACGTGAAGGAGACGGTGGACCGGCTGCTCAAGGGCTATGACATCCGCTTGCGGCCGGACTTCGGAGGTAATGTGTCATCTGTTCATTTCAACCTGTAACTCATCCCCAGTCCACCCCTTTGCTTTTCTTATTGCTTCTCCGTTAAACATCAACGCTTAGAAAAATATTACACGGAAAGAGCGTGTCGTTTGTGTCAACGCCCTGGACACACACACACGCACACGCACACACACGCACACTCCTCAGGTAGATGAATCCCCAGGGCCGGGCCCACCTCCTTCCCCCAGACACACCCTCTGCACAGCCGCCGCATCACGCGTGTGTCCACACCTGTTTTCCCAGGCTAGCCCCTTCCTGGGGGATGGGGAGGGGGGTGAGGGTCTCCCAGGGAAGCCGGTTCTGAATGTAATGAGGTCTGGGAGCCCCCCCTCCACCCCCTCCTCCATTGACTCCAGCCCATTGCCACTTAGAGAAGATGGCTTTAATGGGGTTCCCCCTCCTCCCCGGCAGGGCCCCCCGTGGACGTCGGGATGCGGATCGATGTGGCCAGCATAGATATGGTCTCCGAAGTGAACATGGTGAGTGGCCTCCCCGCGGGCCCGGCGGCCGGGCTCACGCAGCTGGGCGCTGGACCGCTCCCCGGTGTGTCCTCTGCGTTTCATTGGCGGTCACCTCGCCCCCCCCAACCCCGGCCCCGGGGACCCCCCCCCCCACTGTGCGCGCCGGTCCCCGAGCTGGGGACGCACGGCCGATCGCCCCACACGGTGTGTGTTTTTCGACACACACGGGCTACTGCGGTGTTCCAGCGGAAACGTGCTCCGCACCGTCCCGGGAGGGGGCGCGGGGGGGGGGGGGAAGGACGGGTTGCGCCGGCCCGATTGGCTGGGGAGGAATCTGAGCCTTTACTTTCGCCGGGTTTCCCAGCGTGTCAGATGTGCCCGGGCACCACCTGCCGGCGGCCCGGCCGCCTGCACTGGGGTCCCCGGACCCGGTACCCGGCAACCTCCACCCTGGCAGGGTGCATCCGGGCTCGCCCCGACGCCCCCAGGCCCCCCGCCAGCAGCAGGCGCGCGGTCGGGGAGTCGGTGTCCCCTCCCTCCCGCAGGCTCTAGACTCGGTGTGGCCGCAGCCACAGTCCACAGGCTGGCAAAGGCAAACCACCCGAGCCCGGTGTGTGGCGCGGTGTGTGTGGTTCCCAAGTGAGGGTTGATGGCATCATCATCATCATCATCATCATCATCATCATCACATCATCATCATCATCATCATCATTTTGTCTTTCTGCGTCTTGCAAACTGAAGTTGGAAGGAAATGGGTTGCATTGCTTGCTTTACTTTACCTTAGACACGGAACGGAAGCTTGCTGGGAAAGCCTGATGATTTTATCAGGCTTGTGGAGATGATGGGGCCTGGGGCGCGAAAATAACGCAGCACAATCCTTCCTGTCAAAAAGGATCGACGTGCTGGCATTTTTGTTTTTGGGGGTTTTTGTTTTGTTTTTGTGTTTTGAGGGGAGAGGTTGCAAAATGGATGGGGATTATAGTTGCCACTTCTCTCTGTGTTAGCTGCTTCCAGCCGCCGCGGGTAGCAGTTTTCCAATTGTTAAAGAGTTCAGGAGGAAACGCCTGTTGCTTTGCTTGACTCCACCACGCAGAGAACAGCTAGATCTGCAGGAACAAAATGCCATTTTAATTCCACTGGCGGGGGGGTGGGGGGGGGGCGCGGGCGGATATTGCCGCAGAAACTTAGACATCCTGAATAATCAACAGACAAAAATATTTCAGTATTTTCTTTGCCCCTAGTGAGCCATTTTATTTGTAATATGCTTGTGTGTGTGTGTGTGTGTGTGAGAGAGAGACATACATTTCTAGCCTTTTGAATAGGACTAGAATAATAAATGTAGCTATTATATTTCTGCATTTTATCGTTGAAATTGTCTCTGCTTTAAGTAGCTTATTCAAAACATTATTTTTAAATGGCCCTGATTGTTTCAAATGATTTCTTTTTCAAATGCCTTTGATCAGAGTGCTAAGAGGAAAAAAAAATTTCTGAAAGCTTGATACACACAAGTGCATATTTTCTGACTTGGCAAAGATTGTTAAGACACTCATTTGTTACATTCTGTTTACATACACACTAATACCCAAAGCTAGGGTAGACTACAGTCGGGGGAAATGTTATAATCTGAGCACATAGACACATAAATTATGGCCAATCCAGCAAAGGCAATCAAACAAATTAGGGTTAGTTTAACAAGTTGTATCATGTAGATAGCTGGTGACAATCTTTTCCTTTTCAGTCATTTATTCTGGGTCCTTATGAGTGAGCATTCACATAGATAAAATAGGAAAGCATTCACAAGGCTTGAAAGACAAACCATGTCTTTGCCAGCATTCTGCATTACTGTAGATACCAAGCTTTTTAGAAATGCAAGGCCCTGGATTTGATTCTCAGAATTCCATATGCACACACACAAAGATTCTGTTGGTACCATTTAGTTTCCTTCCTAAACTGCATTGAATAGGTAAGTTGTTCATAAGCCAAACCACACTATTGAAAAGCTATGTTCAATCAGTTGCCCAAGTGAAATCACACATAAACTGAGATAAGGGATCAAAGGTAAATGTTGCAGCACTGAACATTTTAACCTAATAATTAAACACAGTCTATGCACTCACTGCATACTCATTTATATATACTCCCTGGTATATGCATTTATTTTTCTCAAAGATCTTTACCCAACAGATAAACCTTTGATAATATACCCTACTAACATACCCAATACCTTTACAAAATAAACTTAGAGACATGATAGGACAATAGAAACCACAGAGAGTTAGAAAGTAATAAACCTTGATTATTCTTTCTTGTATTTACTTTTAGTAAGAACCACCAACATTACCTAGCTCCTTATCTATGACAAAGCATTGAAATAAATATATTGGAAATGGCTCTAAAGAAAATGGAAATAAAGGATTGTTCAAAGCTATAAGCATCCTTATATTTCTTTTTTAATATAATTTTTATACATTTTTTTCTTGTAAAGGTGATATACAGAAGGGTTTCAGTTACATGAGTAAGGTAATGAGTACATTTTTTAAGTGTTACTGTCCCTCATTTCCTCCTACTTCATCCTCCTTTCTTCCCTCCCCCAAGTTGTGCAATTCATTTCCAACATAGTGTCTAGTGAGTATCTGTTGCATTAGTTCATCCTTTTTTCTGCTTCCTTTCTGTAAAACAGATAAACTTATATACAAGACAAAGGGTAAAGAAATAAAAAAAACAGTGACAACATTTTTTAAAGGCCTGAGGACTCTCCATAAACACAACCTGAATGGTTAGTCTCCTATTCCAAATAGGAGAATTTTCTACAACATATTTCAGACAATACAACTAGAAATGACCTTATACAAGAAATAGGACTGACAGCTTGTTACCAAGCATGCCTTAGTACCCTGATAGAGAGTATTTCTGTGCTTATTTAGTAGGAAATTTTCACCAAAATTATCCAAAAAAGAATTGATAATAATGTAATAAAAATAGTTTTTAGAAAAATGGAAGTTAAATCTATTACTAAACCTTTGCTTATTTTATATGTTTATTCATTATCATTACTACCTGAATAATGGCTAGGAAAATGACATTATAATTATGCACTCAACTAATGGGTTTTAAAACTAGGTCCTGTCAATGTTTTTTTCTCTTCCTGTTCTATTGAAATAAAATATAATTCCAGCTTGGTTTACAGCATTTTCTGTTTTAATGGCTAAGGTCAAAATCAAGAGTACTTTCTGCTTTATGCCCTTCAGGATATAAATTTTTCCCTCCGAATTAAGAAAAAGAAAAGAAATCTTTCTAGTCAAGAATCTCCAAAATCAAGAATCATAAACACGTGTCCAAACAGGCTATGTTACCCCACTAACACATACAATTGTTTTACTAATATGTGTCAGTTAAAAATACATTTAATTTAAATGAAAATAATGACAAAAATGAACCACTGGCTTCTGAGCCATGAAGACAAAACCTCTGAAATGCAAAGCCTTATACAATGAATAAGTTCTATGTCATAAATAAACAACACTTTGGACAAAAAATTCTAATGTAGAAAAATACATACTTGAGAGAAAGATAATTAAGGCAATAATGTCACTAATTAAATTTGGCAGTTTTTCTTCTCTCATGGGTTATGGGGCACATAGGATATTACATATAGTGTTACTGTCTAAAACTATCATCTTTAAACAAAACTAAGTTTTCACTTATTATATATTACATTCTTTGAATCTTCTAATAATATCAGCCAAGCCACTCCCCTCTTCCTCCAACTGAGTAGAGATGAGCAGGAGTGTGTGAAACAAAAGGATTCAAGAACCCCTAGAACTTGTTCTTAAAGGAGTCACTACAATCAGCTACAATAAGCCACGTCTAGGAAAACACTAATAATAATAGGCAACTTTTCTCTTTGATCAACAGTGTGAGAAAACATGAGATTAAGTATATGCAAACAAGTAGTTGCAATCTTGAATTTCAGACTCCTGTCTGTTCAAAGGATGAATCTTGAAGCTAGGCTCCAGGTAGTTCATGCCTATAATCCTAGCCTTATAGGCAGGCTGAGAGCTGAGGATCAAAGCCAGCCCTGGCAGGAAAGTCCATGAGATTCTTCTCTCTAATAAAGTACACCCTCCCCACTTCTGCTGCCCAACAGAAGGAAGTGGAGCTGTTCCTCAGGTGCTAATGCCCTACCTTAGCCTTGAACAAAAAAGCTTAGGGACAGCTCGCAGGCCCTGAGTTGAAGCCCCAGAACTGAGGCTGGAAGTGCTGATCACCAAGTAGGAATTCCAATCACACAGTTTTATGTCTGTAAAGTTAATATACCTAAAGATTGTATAGACATAGATTTCTTTTTTTATTATTTTGAAAATACTATACAGAGGGGTTACAATTACATGGGCAAGATAATGAGTACAGTTCTTATCAAGCATTGTAGCCTCCTTCGTTTCCCTTTCCCATCCCTTCTCATCCTCCCCCGGACCCCCCCACTCAATCCTCCCCGCTCCCCCGCAAAGTTGTAAAGTTCGTTTTCGACATAACGACTTGTACATCTCATTGTTGCAATGGGTCCACCAGTATCCTTATTTAAATGATTTGTTTTTCCCCTTCCCCTCCACAAATTATACTGACATCAAATACAGTGAAAGCAGGGGTTATACTGTGGGGGAGGAACATACAAAGCAACAAAGAAATAATCTTATAAATGCGTTAGAAACAATCGCATGAAAGAAAAAAAAAATTTGAATACTTATCTTAGGGTTCATTTCCCTAACCTCACCTTATCTGACCTTTTCTGCTTGACTGACATATACTAGATATCGCAAATAAGGGAAACCATGGGACCTATGTTTCTTTGGGCCTGGCTTACTTCACTTAATATAATTTTTTCCAAGCCTTTCTATTTCCTAACAAATGGGGCAATGTCATTCTTTCTGGTGGAGGCATAGAATTCCATTGTGTATATATACCACATTTTCTTGATCCATTCATCTACTGAGGGGCATCTGGGTTGGTTCTATATCTTA